AGAGCGGTCTCGATGCTACGGTACTTAACAACTATCGTCCCATCTCAAATCTGCCATTTATGGGGAAAGTCCTTGAGAAAGTTGTCTACCTACAGCTTACTAGATTTCTTATAATCAACAACTCATTTGATATGTTTCAGTCCGGCTTTAGACCCCACCACAGCACTGAGACTGCTCTCGTTAAGGTTACAAACAATATCCGGCTGAACACTGACGCAGGCAAAGTCTCAATCTTAATCTTGTTACTGCTGCCTTTGACACCGTCGACCATGAGATCCTCTTACAGAGACTAGAGGACTGGGTTGGAGTCGCTGGCACCGCCCTAAGTTGGTTTAGGTCTTACCTTGAGGACAGGAAGTACTTTGTGGAGATTGGAAACTGTGTCTCAGATCATATGGCCCTGACCTGTGGAGTACCACAGGGGTCGATCCTGGGACCTCTTCTGTTCAATCTCTACATGCTGCCGTTAGGTCAGTTAATACGCAGAAACGAAGTTTCCTATCATAACTATGCAGACGACACTCAGATCTATGTCTCACTGACTGCAGGAGAACATGGACCAGTGGACTCACTCCTTCACTGTATCCAACAGATCAGTGAGTGGATGCAAAACAACTTCCTTCAGCTAAACGCAGACAAAACTGAAATGATTGTCTTTGGTCCCCAGAAACAAAGAGAGAGCGTCATCTGTCACCTACAGTCTCTCTCCCTAAAACCTTCAAACAAGGTCAGAAATCTAGGGGTAATATTGGACTCAGACTTAAATTTTAATAGCCACATCAAATCAGTAACATCCGCAGCTTTTTACCATCTAAAAAACATTGCCAGGATCAAAAACATAGTGTCTAAAGCAGACCTGGAGATTCTTATCCATGCATTTGTCTCCAGTAGGTTAGACTACTGCAATGGCCTGCTCACAGGTCTGTCCAAACAGGCTGTAAAACAGCTGCAGTACATTCAAAATGCAGCAGCTCGAGTCCTGACTAGAACCAGGAAGTACGACCACATTAGTCCAGTTCTCAGGTCTCTGCACTGGCTTCCTGTGGCTCAGAGAATAGACTTTAAAACAGCTCTGCTTGTGTACAAGTCTCTCCATGGCCTCGCACCAAAATATATTAGTGACATGTTAGTCCCATATGAACCAGCCCGGACTCTGAGGAGCACAGGGACTGGACTCCTGTTCTGAGGAGCACAGGGACTGGACTCCTGTTGGTGCCCAGAGTCAGAACTAAACATGGGGAGGCTGCTTTTCAGAGGTGGGACAAAGTCATTGTTTAGCAAGTCACAAGTCAGTCTCAATTCATTGCCCTCAAGTCCCGAGTCAAGTCACGAGTCAAGACAGGCAAGTCCCGAGTCGAGTCCAAGTCAAAGGCCAACAAATCTCAAGTCAGTCCCAAGTCCTACGGTTTGACTTTCGAGTCCTCTCGAGTCTTTTTGACCGCGATTTGTTTCTTGTTGGTCTCCACGTACTTTTGTAGGCAAACAAAATAATGTTAGGAATCATTTTGCTGGTGCATTCTCGTTGGTCTCTGACCCATGGACTAACAGTTTGTTCCATGTCGTTGGCTGCTGGTAAATCAAAACTATCTACGTGATCTAATTGGATGTTGTGCCAGATGCAGGCTCAGTTACACATGCACAGACCACACATAAAATCAGAGCAGTCCGTGTCAACATACTTTTTATCTTTGGGGTTTTTAATGGGAAGTAGCAAGTGCAGCATATATGAATATGAGTATTGGGCTAGGACCTGTATCTATATAATCAGTTTAATGTCCGTAGTGGTTATTGTTCCAAAGGACTGAAGGGACCAATGGAGGGGAAGGAACCTGGCCTGTATTAGTAATATCTCATAATTACCAATATATCATTACATAATAAAATGTCTCATATAAATTAATTCAATCAGTCAAAGCACTGATTCTCATATCAATGCACCATAAACAATAGTGCAAATATTAATCTAGCTTAGTGGACATAATCAAAACAACTATCTAATGTATGCAAACTTTAGCAGGAGGAGCACAGCAAAAACATACTCATAATAATAGGCCTCGGCGCCCACACAGAAAAATATAAGAAAGAGCCAACAGAGCAGCGCAGGCTAGAGCTAGTTTGACTCACCAGTTCCTCTTTAAAACACGGCACAGTGTGTGACAACTGCGTCGAGTCAATTGTATGAGGCGCCTGTAGTGAAAGCATATCAATTACGGTTTGTAAAACAAAATATGACGTTAGGTCGCGATAAATACCTGCAGCTCGCTCATTTCCAGCTCCCCTAGACAACACACACACCGGTGAATGCAGTCCGCTTGTTTAGGGAAGTGTTGCTGCGCGAACTGCGGGGAACTCACGTTCGAACTCTCGCGCGAGCGCTACAACTACCGCGAGGCTTTGTTTCTTCAGAGACGGCATAGATAGAAAGAGAGATGCGGAGAAAGGTAAAAATGGCCCGGGTTACGCAAGTCTTTGCAAGTCAATTGGCGCAAGTCCAAGTGAAAGTCAGAGTCATTGATGTTAAAGTCCAAGTCGAGTTGCAAGTCTTTTTACATTTGGTCAAGTCGAGTCTAAAGTCATCAAAATCATGACTCGAGTCCAGTCCAAGTCACATGACTCGAGTCCACACCTCTGCTGCTTTTCAGATTCATGCTGCTAAAATCTGGAACAGTCTTCCTGAAGATGTGAGACAGGCCTCCTCTCTGACAATGTTTAAAACCAGGTTAAAGACAGTTCTGTTTAACTGTGCATACAACTGAGGGATTTTATATTTTTATCTTTCTTTTTAATGTTCTGTGATTATTTATGATTTTAATGCTTTGTTTTGTTCAGCACTTTGAATTGCCTTGTGTATGAATTGTGCTATATAAATAAACTTGCCTTGCCTTGCCTTACCACCCATTTTGCACCCACTGACAGTTCCACCATTCCCCATACTCACAGAACACCCAGCATAATAGGTGCATGGATAGGACGCAAAGGTGGACCGGTGCTGCCAGGAGGAGAGCCGTCTTGTATGAGAAGCAAATAATCTGGGAACTGTCAAAGGGCTCCCACAAAGGAGTGGGGCATCTGAGTGAGGGCCTCAACCTGAGGACCTTTGGAGAAAAAAAAGGGTTTTCACAAGGGGAAACACTCCAAGCAGTGTAACCCTCAAACCCAGAGTGACACAAAGGTGGTGGTGATGGTGTCTGGTGCTGGGCCAGTGAATAGTGGCCACTACAGAAGGAGAAGCCTCTCCCTGTGGACCAGTACCACCTTCAGTGCAAGGCGCTTCCAGTCTGCACCAAGCCATCTTTGTTGTCTGGGAGGGTCCTTATTTGCCGGTGTGACCAGATCTGGGTAGCACCTGGTGCTTGGGCTGTCTAGTGACGGTATGGCACGGCACAGCGCGGTTATTTTGCATTTCCACTAGGGTTGGGCTTGGGATCAGGGTACTTTTTCCGTACCATCTCAACAGTGGTTCCAAGCATGCCCAAGCTACACCATAACTTGACGTCAGCCGACTGCCTTAAACTGATTAGTCAACAAGTGTCGTCACTGGAAGCGACGTCCGACCCTATGGTAAAAACAACTCAACCCGCCATCTTTAAAACCGGCTGCTCTGCTATGACCATTGATCTATAAAAGGCTATAACACGTCCTCCTCACTCGAGAGAAATGGAATTGCACAGAAAGCCAACGTCCCGGTCGAGGTCGACACGTTACCCTCTTTATGCCGAAGAAAGAATTCAAAGACAGCGCTACAACTCAACACGGAACAAGAAGGTTTTCAGGGAGATCGCCCAGTTCTTGATTTGTGACTATTCTGTGGTAATCCTGGAAATAACTGGTTAGCTACGTATCCCGTTGGCCCAAAGCTCTCACTGAAGTGTATTTACTCTTGTAAATGTTTCATTGTCTGTTCTACACAGTGAGCTAGCTACATTTAGCTATCTATAGCAAGCTAAGCCAAACCATCCTTTGAGCGTGCTGTAGCGCGCTCTTTCAAGTGTTGCCGTTCTGTTTTGTGCTTGTACTTAAGTTGTCGTGTGTATATTTATTTGTTTGAGAATCCCTTCCCACAAGTGAGGAGATTACCAAAGAGCAATGAATGACCACTCGTCCCCTCTCTACAGACATACTTACTTTGGACTTTTTAAATTGTTGGTTTTGCGCTTTACTTTTGTTTTTAATAAACCTGTGATTGTGTCAAGGCTTTGTTTCATTCATTTGTTTGTACACGTGCAGAAAAGGGCTTCAAAAGTTACAATTTCCTACCATATACTTTTACTTCTATTTACATTACATACATTATATTTGTCAGTAAATCCGTATAACAGTGGTCAATTTATGAACACAACATATTTGCTAAATACAAAAAGGTTTTATTTTTGGTCAAAACACAAGGGCAAAATAAATGTTTAGGCATAGGATTTTTATCAAATGTTACTTTTTTACTTCTTTTCACTCTTTTTTTAAGTTGCTATTTAGATTTACAATATACATTTATTTTAAAGGAGCAGTATGTACAAATCTGGCCAAAAGTGGCACTGCAAGCTCTCCCTCTCTCCCTGACTCAGGTTGCCAGACATGCAGACAAATCCAGCTGGGACCATAACAGCTGAATATACAAGAGTTTTGTCAACAACAAATCTATAAACAACACCTTTTTCACAAAGGCCTCGATAGAAATCCTCATTTTATTCCTTGTTTGGTCATTATTGATTTGAGATTCATAACGAAACCTTTTTTAGTCCTGTGGTCAAATGTTTCTTAAAACTAATTTTGAAATTCAAATATGTCGACTGAACTACTGTTATCAGATAAAAAAAGTATTAGAATAGAGCATGGTTTATTAATGCCTTTTGACAGATTAGGGCCATTTAATGATGACTTGACATGAAAATCTTACAACATATTGCTACTTTAAGTTATGTTATTGATCTACTCCATTACTTGAATACTGCTGCCACAATATAAAATGTAGTCCTGGTGTAAAAGTAACTGAAATTTGTGTCCAGATGAAGAAGAGGCATCCTCTCTGTCCCAGGCCCATCTGAAGGCCAGAGAACTGCTGACCGCCATCGAGCAACAGGTGACGACATGCAGTGACATCACACTACATTTGTACAGGTGACATCACTACATGTGTGTGTGTTAAAAAGTTAGGAAAGAAGAGAGTAGATACTGAGTCAAAGTCCAGGTTGTTCTCCCCTTGTCCACTGTGTGTAATGTCTGTCATGTGTATGTACTTAGATGGATGAGCTGCAGAAGAGCCAGAGGGTGGAGGAAATCCACAGCATCCTGGACCCCAAAGTAGTGGCCCGTGTGAGGGACGGTCGTGTGTTCAGGCCCGAGGAGCTGCTGCGCAGGAGCCTGCTGCACGAGGGCACGCTGTTCTGGAAGAGCCCCGGCTCACGGCTCAAAGGTCTGGAAGCATCATAGTAGATTTTACACAGCTCTTTATTTACCAATAGAAAATTAGAAAATCAAACAAAAACAGACGTTCATCTATAGTTCCAGTCTGCCCAGTAGTCCTGGTTTAGCTCTTGTTTTCACAGTTCGACATGTCTTCTTTCTCCTGTCACCTGCCAGTTCCTGTTTGGTTCGCTCAGAAACATCCGTCACATGCAGCACCGTCTCATTGTGCCATTCTCCTCTCAACAACGCACCAGTCTGGTGGCACAATACATCCACCAGATGGCGTGTCAACACCTCCCCATGAACAGATTCCGAATATAAACAGATTGTTTACAAGGGGCTTTTCATGATTAAACATTTGCACTCAGTGCACAGAAACAGACACAGATATCCATGCTCACTGTCCTCATTCTGGACAATCACTGTTAACACTCTTAAACTGCCCTATCCCAAGTTTTTACTTGGTCTCCACAAACTCAGTACTTGTATGGCCCTAACGATCGCCAAGATAACTATCCTCATGAATTGGAGATCAAGGTCAAAATTAACATTACACAATGGAAAAGTCTGATCGACTTCATTTAATCCTAAAATATGCAAGAAACCCATTCCAACCGGTTACCACCCATGCATGTGACGCCAGGCTGTATAAATGCAGATTTTCTCACTGTGATAATTCAGATTCTCAAACCGTAAAATCCGTAATTGAAGTTATAAACAATGCTGAGTGACATTCCAAGCATAGCTACATCTATGGCAACATACACGTAGCAGACTCCATTAGAACAGGTGGGCAAGGCACCTTTAAAGGAGCTGCAAGGTTTCTGCAAGGTTTTTTTCAGTTTGAATGTTTAGCACAGCCCCCCAACTCGCTCACAGGCTTCTTGTTTTGAGAAACCCTCCAACTCTCCCCTGCACTGTCCTCCCACAGAGTCATCTAGTTTTAGTAGCAATCTCACAAGCATTAGCATTAGCACAACTTCTTACAAGCTGTACAACAAAAGCAACGCACTGCTAACAAAATAAAAAGTACAATAACTGAAAGATTGCCGCCAGTTTTGCGTTTAAAAAAAAGTGGTCCGAGATCATTTTTTCGCTTTAGATCCTTCTTCTCCTCGTCACTTTTGCATATTTTGGGCTGTGTCTGCAATTACAGCCAGAGCAGGTATAGCCACTTTCTGCTAACATGCTGCTGTGTATAGCTGAGCTGCAGACGCCAGAGGAGGCAGTTTGTTCGTAACAGCGCTGCCCCTCGTTTTGTGATTGGAGGAGAACCAGCGTCACGATAATTTTCTACTTTTTTTATGGCTTGAGTTCATACACTAGCTGAATCAATGAGCTCAAGTTTTCAATTAAATTACGGATTTTAATACTTTTATATAGTAAAACGCATTTTTATGAACTCATTAGAAAATAGATCAGGTATAAATCCTTGCAGGTGTTAGCAGCAGGTCTATAGACATGAGTGTACATACAGGTCAGTTCAAATTATTTGATGCTGTGTTGAAAGACCACAATACGTCCAGGTTGTATCGATATTTTGAGCTCATTGGTCTCCCTCTCGCTTTCCCTGTGTTGTGTAGAGGTGCAGGTGCTCCTCATGACAGACATCCTGGTGTTTCTACAAGAGAAGGACCAGAAATACATCTTCACTAGCCTGGTATGTTCTCACACATCAACACTGCTCTTCCCTAATCAATTTCAATTTGCATTGGCCAAAATCTGCCACAATTCAAATCAATTAAATGCATTTATATTCAGAGGACTGTTGTCGTTTGCCAAAACAGATCAGAGAATCAAACATGGTTAAAAAACAGGAAAATGAAAAAATAACATTTTTACACCTTATGGAGCCATTGATGCATTAGGTGTGGATGACCAATGTCCATAAATGTCCTTGGTCATCACACTGTCAGACCGTCTTGCACCGGCATGGAATAACAACAAAAAAATAGTGGGGAAAAGTGATGAACCTCTGGGAGGCCTACATTGAGAAAGGGATCCCTTCCCACTGACGAACGGACTATGGATCCTGGACTCAGGCTGTAGAACGAGGACTAAGGCCACACAGTGCTGACTAAGGCACGAGTCCAGGGTGAGGGAGACAGTCCACAGGTGCAAATGAAAAATCCAATTCAAGGATCCCATCATCGTGCCATAAAAAAGACAATAGGACAGAGGCTGAATAGAAATGAAAAGACAAAGTCATAATTATAGTGATATTATTATAAAAAAGCAGGATGCCACCGTACGCACTGTTTCCTGCCGGTTGTGGATTATGACATTCATTGACAGCACATATTCAGAGCTGTCCGTGGCAAGAATACACAGTGCCAAGAACAATGAAATGTGGAACAGTGCTTTTTTAAGGGTAGATCATAAATTATTTTGAGGTTCTTTGTGCAGATTTTCATTTTATTTTAGTATGTTTTTTGTTGTATTGGGCTAATTCTTGTAAATATTGTTTAATCCATGTGTTTGACCAACAACTCTGTTGTTTAATTTTCTAATCTGTACTCTTGGATAGCCCTAAATCACAATAGGGACTTAACAAAACCAATGAATTCTCTTTGTGGTGCTGTGTGGCTGCAGGACAAGCCCCCGGTGTTGTCCCTGCAGAACCTCATGGTGAGGGCCATAGCGAACCAGGACAGGGGCATGTTCTGCATCAGCGACGCTTCTCCTCCAGAGATGTACGAGCTACACGCTGCCTCCAAAGACGAGCGCAACGTGTGGAGCCAGCACATCCTGCAGGCCGTGCGCAAGTATGACCCCTCTGTGCCAGGGCTGGAGCTCTGGTACACCTGTTACATGTGTCTGTCTGCTGCTGAGAGTTTTCTGAGTGATGCTTTCCCTCTGGTTTGACCCAGATGCCCTTCCAGGGAGGCATTCCCTCTGATCGAGTCAGAACACAAGGCCCGCATCAGGAGACTGAAAGGTCAGAAGACCTGTTCTGTGGATAATCCCAGTATACAGTATAATGTACTAAAACAGACTCTCTGCACAGCTGATCTGCAGCACAAGGACGGTGAAGTGCTGGAGCTGCTCCACCAGAGGGTGGCGCTGTTCTCTGAGCTGTCAGAGCTGAGCAGCGGTCAGAGCCTGCACTCGGTCAATCCTCGCTCTCTGTTCAGAGCAGACACACTGCAGGCTCCACGGGCCGAGAGGCTGCTGCTGGAGGCCACTAAAGAAGGTACACACTAAACCTGGTCTAGGATACAACAGCACAATGTGAACAACCAGTTCTATCTATTCTATTTCTAAATTTGTTTGGTTTTTTTTTGTATTTAGTTAATCATAACAAAATAATATTTCTCTTCATAGTGGACACTCTGAGTGACCTGCTTCTCGGCTCATCTGGCACCACCTCAGCAGAACACAGTCCTATGTGTGAGTATTGTGATAGTCCATGTCCTCGGTAACATCAGACAAGGACAGAGACTCCATCAACCATGTGAACCATGATGTTGCTTCTCTTGCTCAGGTCATGGGGAAGTGTCTCCGAACGGGGCCCTCGCACATAAGGTGAGCTGGGTGCCCCTCTTCTCTTTGGAGTTGGGTGTCACACAATAACGAAACTTAAACTGATGCCTGACAATGCTATCCATAGAACGTACCACAAGGTTGTGAAAATGAACTCTAAGATGCAAATGAAAATCAAAATAGTATTGTGCATGATGAGCAGGAGACCAAAGTATTATGCTCTGTTTGTGTGTAGGAGATCTGCCAGAGACTGCTGAGCCTGAGCACCGGCCTCCATGCTCTGCAGGTGAGTCAACTCTCTTGGGGCCCTCGCCTCCTACCACCTCTCATTCATTTAGTCATTAGGTCATTATGCAATCATTTAGAAATCACCAGGAAACTTCTGAAGGCAATTGCTCCCACAAAGAGGAAAGGGTGTAGACACTTCCCACTTTTCAGTTTTTTAATTAATAAAAATAAGTCAAATATAGAAATATTGAATGCTCACAAGGCAACATGTCTAAAAGTCACAGTGCACAGTCAACATTGATGTTCTTGGAATCACAGTCTTATCACAGTGGTGATGTTTGTCTCATTTAGATATTTCCTAATGGTGTAGTCCTGGTGTGAATGTGTCTGTGTGCAGGGCGCAGTGATCAAGCAGGACTCCATCCTGGAGCTGCTGCTGCAGCCGGAGGAGGAGTGGCGCTGCCGAGCGCAGGGGGACAGCCCAGAGTTGGGAGCTATCGGAGAACTGGCTCTTCTTCAGAGACAGCACAGTCTGCTCCAAGATGAGCTGCTGCGGCTGCGCGACGCTGAGGCCCGCTTCAAACACAGTGAGAGGGAGAGGGTCCGGCTAGAGCAGCACATGAGGAGAGTGATCGGTGTGTCCCAGGGAGCAGCGGCTACAAAGGTGACCCGTCTGTACACATGGCAAACAGACATTCAACAATACGTCACAGTGACAGGACAAACAGCATCAACCCTGACCCTGGCCCTGACCCTGGCCCTGACCCTGGCCCCAACCGGACCTTAACACTTATCTATATGTAAAAGTTAAATTAAAGTAATGTAATTATTTTTATGTAAAGTTAAATGCACTTTATGTGCAATGCCAAAAGCCCTATTAACCTCATGCAGTAGCATAATAAGCTACATTTAGTATGTATATACATGTATATAGTATATATATACAGTATACAAAGTATTCGGCCCCCTTGAACATTTCACAATTCGCCACATTTCAGGCTTCAAACATAAAGATATAAAATTCAAATTTTTTGTCATAAATCAACAACAAGTGGGACACAATCGTGAAGTGGAACAACATTTATTGGATAATTTGAACTTTTTTAACAAATAAAAAACTGAAAAGTGGGGCGTTCAATATTATTCGGCCCCTTTACTTTCAGTGCAGCAAACTCAGTCCAGAAGTTCAGTGAGGATCTTTGAATGATCCAATGTTGTCCTAAATGACTGATGATGATAAATAGAATGCACTTGTGTGTAATCAAGTCTCCGTATAAATGCACCTGCTCTTTGATAGTCTCAGGGTTCTGTTTAAAGCGCAGAGAGAACCATGAAGACAAAGGAACACACCAGGCAGGTCCGAGATACTGTTGTGGAGAAGTTTAAAGCCGGATTTGGATACAAAAAGATTTCCCAAGCTTTAAACATCTCAAGGAGCACTGTCCAAGCAATTATATTGAAATGGAAGGAGTATCAGACCACTGCAAATCTACCAAGACCCGGCCGTCCCTCCAAACTTTCATCTCAAACAAGGAGCAGACTGATCAGAGATGCAGCCAAGAGGCCCATGATCACTCTGGATGAACTGCAGATAACTACAGCTGAGGTGGGAGAGTCTGTCCATAGGACAACAATCAGTCGTGCACTGCACAAATCTGGCCTTTATGGAAGAGTGGCAAGAAGAAAGCCATTTCTCAAAGATATCCATAAAAAGTCTTGTTTAAAGTTTGCCACAAGCCACCTGGGAGACACACCAAACATGTGGAAGAAGGTGCTCTGGTCAGATGAAACCAAAATCGAACTTTTTGGCCACAATGCAAAACGATATGTTTGGCGTAAAAGCAACACAGCTCATCACCCTGAACACACCATCCCCACTGTCAAACATGGTGGTGGCAGCATCATGCTTTGGGCCTGCTTTTCTTCAGCAGGGACAGGGAAGATGGCTAAAATTGATGGGAAGATGGATGGAGCCAAATACAGGACCATTCTGGAAGAAAACCTGTTGGAGTCTGCAAAAGACCTGAGACTGGGACGGAGATTTATCTTCCAACAAGACAATGATCCAAAACATAAAGCCAAATCTACATTGGAATGGTTCACAAATAGACGTATCCAGGTGTTAGAATGGCCAAGTCAAAGTCCAGACCTGAATCCAATCGAGAATCTGTGGAAAGAGCTGAAGACTGCTGTTCACAAACGCTCTCCATCCAACCTCACTGAGCTCGAGCTGTTTTTAGGAAGAATGGCAAGGCAAGGCAAGTTTATTTGTATAGCACAATTCATACACAAGGCAATTCAAAGTGCTGAACAAAACAAGAAAGCATTAAAATCATAAATAATCACAGAACATTAAAAAAAAAGATAAAAATATAAAATCCCTCAGTTGTATGCACAGCTAAACAGAACTGTCTTTAACCTGGTTTTAAACATTGTCAGAGAGGAGGCCTGTCTCACATCTTCAGGAAGATTGTTCCAGATTTTAGCAGCATGAATCTGAAAAGCAGCCTCCCCATGTTTAGTTCTGACTCTGGGCACTAACAGGAGTCCAGTCCCTGTGCTCCTCAGAGTCCGGGCTGGTTCATATGGGACTAACATGTCACTAATATATTTTGGTGCGAGGCCATGGAGAGACTTGTACACAAGCAGAGCTGTTTTAAAGTCTATTCTCTGAGCCACAGGAAGCCAGTGCAGAGACCTGAGGACCGGACTAATATGGTCGTACTTCCTGGTTCTAGTCAGGACTCGAGCTGCTGCATTTTGAATGTACTGCAGCTGTTTTACAGCCTGTTTGGACAGACCTGTGAGCAGGCCATTGCAGTAGTCTAACCTACTGGAGACAAATGCATGGATAAGAATCTCCAGGTCTGCTTTAGACACACTATGTTTTTGATCCTGGCAATGTTTTTTAGATGGTAAAAAGCTGCTGATGTTACTGATTTGATGTGGCTATTAAAATTTAAGTCTGAGTCCAGTATTACCCCTAGATTTCTGACCTTGTTTGAAGGTTTTAGGGAGAGAGACTGGAGGTGACTGATGACGCTCTCTCTTTGTTTCTGGGGACCAAAGACAATCATTTCAGTTTGTCTGCGTTTAGCTGAAGGAAGTTGTTTTGCATCCACTCACTGATCTGTTGGATACAGTGAAGGAGTGAGTCCACTGGTCCATGTTCTCCTGCAGTCAGTGAGACATAGATCTGAGTGTCGTCTGCATAGTTGTGATAGGACACTTTGTTTCTGCGTATTAACCAGAGGTGTGGACTCGAGTCATGTGACTTGGACTCGAGTCAGACTCGAGTCATGATTTTGATGACTTTAGACTCGACTTGACCAAATATAAAAAGACTTGCAACTCGACTTGGACTTTAACATCAATGACTCTGACTTTCACTTGGACTTGCGCCAATTGACTTGTAAAGACTTGCGTAACCCGGGCCATTTTTACCTTTCTCCGCATCTCTCTTTCTATCTATGCCGTCTCTGAAGAAACAAAGTCTCGCGGTAGTTGTAGCGCTCGCGAGAGAGTTCGAACGTGAGTTTCCCGCAGTTCGCGCAGCAACACTTCCCTAAACAAGCGGACTGCATTCACCGGTGGGTGTGTTGTCTAGGGGAGCTGGAAATGAGCGAGCTGCAGGTATTTATCGCGACCTAACGTCATACTTTGTTCTACAAACCGTAATTGAAATGCTTTCACTACAGGCGCCTCATACAATTGAATCGACGCAGTTGTCACACCGTGTGCCGTGTTTTAAAGAGGAACTGGTGAGTCAAACTAGCTCTAGCCTGCGCTGCTCTGTTGGCTCTTTCTTATATTTTTCTGTGTGGGCGCAGAGGCCTATTATTATGAGTATATTTTTGCTGTGCTCCTCCTGCTAAAGTTTGCATACATTAGATAGTTGTTTTGATTATGTGCACTAAGCTAGATTAATATTTGCACTATTGTTTATGGTGCATTGATATGAGAATCAGTGCTTTGACTGATTGAATTAATTTATATGAGACATTTTATTATGTAATGATATATTGGTAATTATGAGATATTGCTAATGCTGGTCCAGTTGATGGCGAGCTGCCCCAGGTCCAAAGCCTAGACCCCTCATACTACCCCTATTCTACAGTAGGACATTTGGAACAATAACCACTACGGACATTAAACTGATTATATAGATACAGGTCCTAGCCCAATACTCATATTCATATATGCTGCACTTGCTACTTCCCATTAAAAACTCCAAAGATAAAAAGTATGTTGACACAGACTGCTCTGATTTTATGTGTGGTCTGTGCATGTGTAACTGAGCCTGCATCTGGCACAACATCCAATTAGATCACGTAGATAGTTTTGATTTATCAGCAGACAACGACATGGAACAAACTGTTAGTCCATGGGTCAGAGACCAACGAGAATGCACCAGCAAAATGATTCCTAACATTATTTTGTTTGCCTACAAAAGTACGTGGAGACCAACAAGAAACAAATCGCGGTCAAAAAGACTCGAGAGGACTCGAAAGTCAAACCGTAGGACTTGGGACTGACTTGAGATTTGTTGGCCTTTGACTTGGACTCGACTCGGGACTTGCCTGTCTTGACTCGTGACTTGACTCGGGACTTGAGGGCAATGAATTGAGACTGACTTGTGACTTGCTAAACAATGACTTTGTCCCACCTCTGGTATTAACTGACCTAATGGGCAAGAATTCCAGTCTCTCGATGTGCAAAACTGATAGAGACATACCCCAAGCGACTTGCAGCTGTAATTGCAGCAAAAGGTGGCGCTACAAAGTATTAGCGCAAGGGGGCCGAATAATATTGCACGCCCTACTTTTCAGTTTTTTATTTGTTTAAAATGTTTAAATTATCCAATAAATTTTGTTCCACTTCACGATTGTGTTGTTGATTCTTGACAAAAAATTTAATTTTTATATCTTTATGTTTGGAGCTTGAAATGTGGCGAAATGTTGAAAGGTTCAAGGGGGCCGAATACTTTCGCACTGTATATTTGGTTAAAGTAAATTAAAAGTAATGCAGTAGTAGTGTAATGCAATTATATTGTAGTGTAACGCATTACATTGAAATAACATGTGTGTGATACATTCAATTAATAATTTTACCCTCAAGCCACCAAAAGACTTTTGATTTAGAAACTATACAAAACAAAATGAGGCTCATCCTCTCCCCCCTCTGGGTCACACACTGTACAGACTCAGCCTCTTCAGCAACAGCTTTAAAGCGCCTCCACCTCCAGGGCCAGGTGCCGGTCCTCCTCTGGGCTAACCGAGTCACTTTCTTCTGGCAACATTTAACTGTATGACAGTTCTCTGTAAAACTCCTGTTTCAATAGAATATATTGTCTTAACTTAGGTTAAGACAACCTTTTCATCGTGTTCTAAACTCTGCATAAAACACAAAACTCTTCACGTGCTTTGTTTAAACAAACTAATATCACACTGTAATTTATTTCTATGAACATCATTTAAATCACAACTTTTTGTCAAGGGACAATTATATGAACAATTCCAAATAAAACGAAAACGCAAAATTTTAAACATTTTGACAAAACTAAATGTGATTAACCCCATGTAAAACTTTGATATAGTCTGTAGGGGGCGCTAATAGGCCGCCATCCCTTGCATTCACCATTGTGAAACCAATAGGCCCTTACCCCAGTCGGGGCTCGGACCTAAAAATCTGTGAGGAACAGGCAGAGAGAGATCCCCCTTCCATGGGCAGACAGGCAGAATAATGCAAGACACAAGATTTGGTACTGATTTTAGTTGATCTAAGATC